TGGGGGTGTTGGGGGGGTGTATGGGGGTGTGGATGGGGTTATTTCGGTTTCTGGACCCAAAAAAAAAAAAACTAATAAAAAAAAATTCATGATTGTGGCAGACTGTTTCCGACTGATCAGGAGGTTGTGTGTGTCTGTGTATGTGTCAGAGAGACTCTCTCTGTCTCTCTCTGTCCCTCTGTCTCTCTCTCTCTCTGTCTCTCTCTCTCTCTCTCTCTCTCTCTCTCTCTCTCTCTCTGATACACACACACAGAGTAACCTCTCTCTATCTGTCTGCGTGCATGGCTGGAAAACTCTCTCTCTCTCTCTCTGTCTCTGACACACACACACTGTAGCCTCTCTCTCTCTCTCTCTCTCTCTCTCTCTCTCTCTGTGACACAAACACACGCGCGCGTGCACGCCCAGGCACGGCCAATTCAACAGTTCAATGTGTGCATCAACTGAGCAGCCTGCCAATGTGCCAGAACATGGAAATATGCACTGCCACATTTTCGGTGTTTGGCAGCGCAGATTTCCATGTCATGGCAGTGGATACTTCCATGTTGTAGGGGAAGATTCAACCCCATTTTGCTCATTTGCTGAAGCGTGGCAATGTCGGTCTGTGTGTGTGTGTGTAGGATGAGCAAAATCGGAATGAATCTCCGGCCAGAACATGGAAATATATTGATCTCATGGTACTTCCATCAATATGATGAGCAAAATTGAATGAATCTACCGCTAGAACGTGGTTGTATTGATTGATTGAAAAACAAAAAAGAAGAACGGGGCGATCTTTTTTTTTTTTTTTTTTGGATCGATCAATCAATCAATCAATCAATCAATCAATGTCCACCTTTCAACTCTTCCGCTCCTTCTCCTGCTCCTCCTCCGGCGCCTCCTCCGCCCGTTCCCGTTTCCCCTTGCGCTCCTCCCGCTCCTGACCGCTTCCCCGTTTTCCCTGCTGCTCCTCCTCCCACTCCTCCTCCCGCTCCTCCTCCCGCTCCTCCTCCGCCCTTTCCCGCTTGCCCTCGCACTCTTTCTCCCCCTCCTTCTCCAACTCCTCCTCCCGCTCCTCCTCCTCCTGCCGCTCCTCCTCCTCCTGCCGCTCCTCCTCCGCCAAACAACGTGACAAAGATCCCTCCATAGCCCCGCTCCTCCTCCCTCTCCTCCTCCATCTCCTCCCGCTCCCCCTCTTGCTGGTCCTCCCGCTCCTCCTCCTGCTCCTCCCGCTGCTTCTCCTGCTTTTCCCCCCGTTCCTCCTCCCCCTCCTTCTTTCGCTCCTCTTCCCGCGCCATAGCCCCGCTCCCGCTCCTTCCCCGCTCCTTCTCCCACTACTCCTCCCGCTCCTTCTCCCGCTCCTCCCAGTCCTCCTCCTCCTTGTCCTCATCCCTCTCCCGCTCCTCCTCCGCCAAACAACGTGACAAAGATCTCGCCACAGCCCCTCTCCGGCTCCTTCTCCTGCTCCTCCTCCCTCTCCTCCTCCATCTCCTTCTCCCGCTCCCCCTCCTGCTGCTCCCTTGCTGCTTCTCCTGCTCTTTCCCCCGTTCCTCCTCCCACTCCTTCTCCCGCTCCTCCTCGCGCTCCTCCCGCTTCTCCTCCTCCACCTATATCTCCTCCCGCGTGTTGGTTGACCCCCTCCCCGTTCCCCTCCCTCTCCTCCCCCCGGTCCTTCTGCCGCTCTTCCTCCCGCGCCTCCTCCGCCCCTTCCCGTTTCCCCACGTGCTCCTTTTCCCGCTCCTAACCCCCTCCCCGTTTCCCCTGCCGCTCCTCCTCCTCCCGCTCCTCCTCCCGCGGCTCCTCCGCCCCTTCCCGTCACGGTTTCCCCTCCCGCTCCTTCTCCCGCTCATCTTCCCGCTCCTCCTCCCACTCCTCCTTTTCCCGGTCCTTTTCCCACCCCTCCTCCCGCTCCTTCTACCGCTCCTCCTCCCGCTCCTCCTCCCACTCCTCCGTTTCCCACACCTCCTCCTGCTCCTCCCGCTCCTCCCGCTCTAGATCTCATTAGATTTCGTTAAATCTCATTAGATCCTCAGAATCAACGGTCGGAATTTGAGAAGAATTTCGGTGAGTGGGCGGGACCTGGCCTCGGGTCGTCATTCTTATTTAGCGGTGAGGGCTGAGGTGGAAGCCATAGCCCAGCTATCGCTAACTCTCTGTGCTGCTATGCTCCTATCTTGCTTCGGGGGTTCATTTCGAGATTGCTTTCCCACATTGTACGCCATGCTGTGCGCGGTTGTGTGTGGTGCGCGGTTGTGTCAACTTTGAGCCGGTCCGTCTGTCTCCTTTCACATCACAAAATGAAAAGACAAAAATATGCAAGAAAAAAGTTTCTTCGTCCTCCTGCCCGTTTCCCCTTCCGCTCCTCCTCTCGCTCCTCCTCCCGCAGCTCCTCCGCCCCTTCCCGTTTCCCCTCCCGCTCCTCCTGCTCCTCCTCCCGCTCCTCCTCTCACTCGTCCTTTTCTCACAACTCCTCCCGCTCCTTCTCCCGCTCCTGCCGCTCCTGCCGCTCCACGTTCCGCTCCTCCTCCGCCAAACAACGTGACAAAGATCCCGCCATAGCCATCTCCTCTGAAAAGAAAACAAAGAAGGCCCGCCACGTGCCTAGCCGAGAGAGAGAGAGAGAGAGAGAGA